AGTTCATAATGCGACAACTAATAGGATTCTGATATTTGAAACTGACAGTGATACGAGGAAAAGGATATGTTGGAAATAAACGTCTTGCTGTAGTATCATAGAAAATTGAACGTAGTCTGAGATCGACGAAAGCATTTCCCGGATAAACTTAAGAAACTTAAGAAATGGAACGTCTTTACCAAACCTGACTAATAGCTGCGAAAACAAAATGGCGGTTCGCGGTGGCCGTGACTGCTTTATAGTAATCGCCTGTACCAAATATCACCTGAAAAAGAAGAAAAGCAACACTCGGATTACTGAGGAGCAATTATCAAACAACAAACTAAGTGGATACTTACTTTTGCCCGCTCATTTATCTGATCGCTTAATTTCAGTGTGGCTGTTCGGTCGGAAAGTTTGTCCTCCACAATCTCCACTTTCTTGAATAATTCGTTCGCTCGTGCCTTTTCTCCAGGCCCAGCCACTGTGCTTAAAATTGACTGTACCGAGTTATAGGCTGTCCGACAAATGATTAGTCTTTTATCTGAAATATATTTAATGACAAAAAGAAAAAAACACATTTCCTAGCAAAAGATTCCGCATGCGCGCTGTCAAAAGTTATCAAGGCCAATCTCCAGGGAATTTTACTGGGAAACAGCACTGTTGTGCTGCTTAAAAGTAACATTTGCTTTGCATTTTCCACAAATGGCAGTGCTCATCAGCAGAACTTCCTGCTTTCCTCCGATGTTACAGAAAATTTGAGTACTCAAGCAAACGGATTACAGCTTACAACAATGAATTTCACATACGAAATCCAGTGTTTCAGCTCGCAACGAATTAGAATAATTGGAGAGGTACCATCTGTCAGTTAAGCGGTTGCCGCTCAAATTAAGAAATGAATTCTACGGCTCGCAAAATCCGACAACAAAGCTATTCTTAAAAACCGTCAACAATTTTGAGATATTCTTCTCAGAAAAAGTGAAGGCAGCAAAGTTCTAGTTTTTGGAATTTCGAATACCAAATAAAAAGTGCGTCGATTTGGATTTCTGTGGGAAAAACGAACCTTTGATAGCTTTTAGTAGCAATGGTAAAGCCGGTTTTTTCCTTTCCTGGGCAGCTTGTGCATTCAACAGCTGGCTGTCGTAATCATACTGAGCACCGTTTTCATGAGTTAAAGACGAAATAAGGACAAACACTGCTGTAACATCAAGATTGATGGTATCCACAGAACTGCCTTCTATCTCACAATGCCTCGATTCCACACAACGCGTTTCCAAGCCTTTCAACATATCGCTGCAGGCATCATGCAAAGAGAAATCCACAGGCAACTTCACCACATCGTTAATGTCCACCTAAATAAATGCATATATATATTAAAAATGGAAAAAAACAGAGCAGCACATCCAACATCTCACAAACGATCAAGAAGCGCTCGCTTTACTGCTTGCTTTCCGAAACCGTGATGCGCCCAGTTTCCATGAAAATGGCATTTTTTCAGCGACCTGTTGCTTAATTATTTCTAAAATCGTTAGTTTATTTTCTTAACAAATTTTTAAGAACTGATCTTATTTTTCGCTACATTTTGATAAAACTATAAATCAGTGACTTAATTTTATACTTTTCCGACGAATTCGTCGGCTTTTGAGGAACGAAGAGAAGTGTCCCGTTTTCCCCTCCCCTTCCTCCTTCCCCTCTCTCCGCCCTCCTACCTCCGTCCGCGTCCGGCCTAGCATGCAACAACTGATAAATTACTTAAGAAATACACTTTGAAAAATTCCATCTGCTTATTAAGTAAACACTGACGATCAATAAATAGATCGATGAAATAGCGGTAAATTCTCTTTTGCCGCTTGCTTCCGTTTAAAGGTTTAAAAAAGTCGAAATGTTTGCAAATGTCTTTTCTGTTTTTGTTAGTCATTCCGTACATGTGAAGGTGGTTATAAGCAACAAGGCAGGAAACGTAGCACGCAATGGGAGAGTTACCTCACGACCAATAACTTTCACTCCGATGAGTTCGAGTTTTCGCGCCAACATGTCCGGCACGCCATTCACAAATTCAAACACAACTTCAGGCGGCTTGAAGAAATACTGATGATTCTGTGCCATCTGAATATTCACTTTTTGACGCATAATGATAAAATACACAACAGTACAATAATACCAGTCTAAGGAGTTGTTACTTTTTTCGCTGATTTTTACAAATAAATGGCCAATAGGAGCTGTAAAGTGACCAGCTGTTACATGCCAATCACACAAACCGTTCCGGCACACTCAGCTACCACTCACTGCTGAAGTTCAAATTCCCCAATTACGCATGAAATGCTATTAACAAGTTACTAGGCCGAGCACTGGATTGCACACTTTAGCTTGTAGTGAAGCGAGAGGTGATAAATGGCGGTAGACTGTGATGCTGATGTGTAGTTCTCGAAAGACTGGAAATTAATATTTCTACCTCTTGCATTACATAGTTCGTTCTATTCTTGCCTTCTTTTCTACGTTCTTCATATTACTTTCATGCTACAATCATGCGATAATCAGATTAACAGCAGAAGCTGTTCACCGTTACATAATCGTGGGCCTGTTCGACCAGCGATCGGCCCGAGTTACCGCCAGCACCAATAAAATCCATGGCGAGACCGCGAACATTCCTCGATATCACTTTCACCTGCAACAATTCCCCGCTGTAAGATTACACTAAGCGTATATTAATACAAACAATGAATATTCCTGGCAAAGAGAATGGAAGAGAACGAGGATCGGAAATCTTCTATGTGTTAACATATGCAGTTCGTAAACCAAACGTCAGGGCATAATTTGAGCGAAAAAAAAACAACCTAGTCTAATGTTGAAAAAAGATGTGTGGTATTATCATCTAAAGCAAACTGAAAATGCGAAGCACTGACCCACGTAGCGCCATCGTCCACTACCAAGTCGATCTGTCGCTTCGTACCTCTACAACATAACCTCATTTTTCAGTAGCACTTTTATCATTTCGTACAAAAACGGCGCACTTTGGTAGTGCCCACCCGCCAAACATTCACAGCTTCCCAAGAGGCACAAGGAAAACTGAATAAACTGGAAGCTATATACCACCATCTTCCCCCAAAAAAATGTTTCGGAACCGGGAAAAAGTTAACGAAAAACAAGAGAGGTGCCTCTCTTAAGCCGGCTAGCTTTCCTGGCGATTCCCCTCTAGCAGACCGGAAAAAGGGGAAGCAAATACTAGCATGCATTTTTGCCTCGAATTCCTTGTGCCTCTCCATTTTTTTTCAAACCCAAGGCTATGACGCTGACGAATTGCCACATTCTGGGGTTTCACAATTTACACGTCAGTATCCTTTTTACGACGACATAAGATGAAAGCACAGTAGCCGAGAAACTATTGTGCGGGAGAAATGACCACTGTATGTGCACTTCTTATCCAAACACAGTTGCACAAGTAACTTTCCGAATTTCGAGGGTCAGTATGTCACAGGGTTAGCTTCTGTGATTCCTTGCGATCTTGCTACAGCACGAAAAGTGCAAAAACGTATAATATGTGGAGGAAAAACACAGCAGATTTTACAAGGGAAGAGCATACTTGGTGCAACCGATTCCCGGGTGCTCAGGGAAACTCTTGTAGAATGCAGTGCACGAAGGAAGACGCCTCATCGCCACATCGAGCAGTCCTCGAAAATGCGTCACGTTGCTGGTAGCGAGATATCGCTCCAATATCGACGGCGTCACATCCCTCAGCTACAAACGAAACGAGCGATGAGACCGAAAAAAAATGCAGGGCGCAATCAAACACAGCAAAAATGCTCGATTTTGGCAAACTTACACCGTTGAGGAACTTCAGTTCGGCCTTCAACTTGTTCTGCAGCTTCTCACTGCCCTCTACCTCTGCGAAATAAGTGCAGACTCTCTGCAACAGCGATTCGGCCTCCTGAATCTTACTAAACAACTTCCTGGCGCCTTCATCCACTTCCATACTCACCGACGCTGAACACTCATTGGATGGCATACTCACAGTCTCAGGCTCATCGAGGCTGTCTCAGGATCGTGGTAGCCAGCAAACACCTTTTAGCTGTTATATCTTGTAAGCTGCAAAATTTCTTCACTTTAAAGCATAGTCACACAATCATAATAAACAGCAACGCGCACCAGACCAGGCGGTGCGATCATGCGTTTTGTGCAATTCAGCCATCGAACGATTGCCTATTAAGGATTTTCAATGCTTTGTACTTCAGTCTATGCAAAAATTGTCCAAACACTGGAAAACAGTTAAAAATTTCACACACCAACGCATGAAAGCTGAATTGGAAACCTTGGAGGGTGAATTCTTTACCCCGAGTTAATAGTTTACCCGCCAAAATTTTCACGAGGCCGTAGGTGGTACTCAACAGCGATGGAACGGTTGGGCAAGGTTGAGCGTGGGCAGGGGGTCATTACCTTAAAATATCAGCCTCTTATACTTCGTGGTTCCTGAGATACTAATTTTCCCGTAATAACTTTCATTAGCCTGTAGGTGGTACCCGAGAACACGGGAACACTGAATTTGAATAGGTAAGGTTGAGCGTATGCAGGAGGTCATTAGCCTAAAATTTCAGCCTCCTAGACTCCGTGGTTCCTGAGATATTAATTTACCCGTAAAGAAATTTCACGGGGCCGTGCGTGTTACCCGCGGGTATGGGAAGGCTGAATTTAAATTCGCCGCATTAACCGCTGGCGGGGAACACTATACCAAAATTTCAGCCGCCTAGCTTTTGTGGTTCCCGAGTTGAAAGTGCGAGACAAGTGTGGGACAAACACACAGACAACCCCGTGACAATATGCGTTTTGTACTGCTGTTACACAGCAAAACGCATAAAAATGTTCTTTGAGGAGGCAGACGCACAGCCTGCTTCCTAGAAACAAACGAGGCATCCAGTGTCTCATCTTATATGAACAGAAATATCACCCTGGTCAAAGTGTTCCAATATCAAACCCAAGTGCCGTTACAGACACAGACGGAATACTCTCGACAATTTTGCCACTCGACACTGTCTTGCGGAGAGATTTCGTACCACCATCCGCACTAACTTTAACTTTTCCTTCGTTACAAAGCATCATTGCAAGCTGAATTCTGCACAACTTCACTCAAATTTTCCATGTTGACGCCTAGCTTCTACCGTCCACGATTTTTGTGTCGCAGCAGCGAGCAGAGCAGTTTGAACCTTTACACGCCCAAACCCCGCTGCGCAGATAAGTGAAAGTAGCGCCGCATGAAGAAAACCAGCACAGTGATGCATGATCAACGAAAATTTGCATATGGAAAGATCAAAAAAACCGAAGGAGATACACTTCCTTTGTAAATACTGCGCGAGCGAAACCAGAGCACATTTATTGACAATAAAGCGTGCACATAAATAAGTGATGTAAACAACAAAAACAAGCTGCAAAGTAATAAACTGTTTCGGCGGAACAGCCAACTGTAACATAACAAAGATCAACTGGGAGATAACTTGCAAGAGATCGGCGCTACAATATGTTCAACTATTCTGAGGTAACATAACGTGTTCACCTGATCTGAGGTGACAACAACGTGTTCAATCCTGAAAATTGAAAGTAACGCATGAGTGCAGAGCAAACTGCTCTAAAAGAACTTTTGCAAATGGCCATGTGTTACGCAATAGAAGAGAAACCAGCAACGGCACACTTGTAACAGAAATCAAATAAGTGGCCGTCGCATCGAATACCGGTGCAAAAATGTGTTTTTTGCATAGTTCTCAGCAGGTTTTTGTTGCTAGGGATTTTTCGGCAGATCTTCTAGCTAAGAGAATTGCGACCGGCCACCAGGACTGTCTGAAAACATCCCTTTAAATTTTCAGCTTTGCAACTTTTCTGGCTCCCAAGTTGGAAACTTGCCCACCAAAAATTTTCACCGGTCCGTACGTTCACCAACCACGCATAACTAGGGGCAGAGACTGAACTCACCAGGAAAGTCCTCTTAAAATTTCAGCCTTCTAGCATTTCAGGTTTTCGAGTTAGCAACTTACCCGCAAAAAACTTCCACAGGCCCGTACATGGGGACCACGGAGGCCGGCTTTGAACTCATTAGGGCCTGTTTGGACGGGGAACGTGCCCTCAAAATCCTAGTTTTTCAATTTCCCAACTTAGCAAATTACTTGCGGAAAACTTTCACGGGTCGTATGTGGGAACCACACAAGTCCAAGGAGGTTTGAACTCACTGAGACCTATGTTAAGTAGCAATAAAAACGGGGAAATAATACACGCACGTCACTTTACTCCCTCACAATGCCTGCCAATAAGCCACATCCAGCCTTTAGGCCGGAGACTCTTCTGCATCTGCGATAGGCAGTCAAGGTCCCATTAGTGGATAATCTTGCTAAAGCACAGTTATGCTATAACAATGTATGCTATAGAAATCCGCGTATGTCCTTTAAATATGTAGATCTGAGGGGTATATTACGAATGCGTGTTTGTATATATGCAGTGTTACGATCTCGGAGACAGGAGACGGTAAAGAGGCCGTAATATGCACCTCGGTAGGTCGTCTCCTAGAATACTAGGTTCGACTGTGGGCTATTCCGGTAGAATCGAGATTCGTTCGTTCCGGCTAGAATCGAGAATTGCTCTGTTGGTTCATGCAAGAATCGAGGATTGTCCCCGTTGGTTCATGCTAGAATCGAGAATTGTTTCGCCAGTTCATTGTTCCTCGTCCGTTTGTTCCGTACTGGAAATATGAACCAAATTCGGTATTTCCATGCTGCAGTATTTCTACTGCGCCAGGGGTCCTCCTGCATACCGGAAGGAGCCAAAGCACGGCCAACATGAGCCCAAGTGTTAGGCTACAACGCAAGGATCATTCTTGCTAATAGTGATCTGCGGGTTTAGTGCAAAAACGCATGATCGCACAGGAGAGTCTGGTGCGTTCCAGCCTGGGTTGATTATAACCCGCGCTTTTCCAATAACTGACGACCCAAACAATCTCTCCAGGAGATCATCGTACTCGTCAGATCTCAGGCCGAGAGCAGCACGGAAATCGGTCATCGTTACATTCAAATGTTATCCGCACATACCAACGACCACCGGCACAAATATCACTTCCTGCTTGTACTGAGTTCGCAGATCTGAAACAAGATTAAGCCCAGGGGGATAACTTGCCCGGGTCTGGTCCTCAGTAATATTTGAATTAACCGTGTACCGGTTAATTTTCAACCGACGCTGAGACTCCATTCTGGTGGCATGGGCCACACTCACCTCCACCACAAATATCTTGCGCTCGCGATGGTCGGAGACGACCATATCTGGCCGTCGATGTTCTATTGGGGCTCGTGTCGCTAGCACCATGTCCCATAGGA